AATACTGAAAGACTGGACAACACCAGCAATCATTATGTCAGACTGCACAGGGAAGCCATTGAAATCCACAAGCATCAACAAAACTTCAACCGAAAGGAGGAAAGTCTGAAACTCAACAAAACCTGGCTCCCAGCTCTCAAAAACACAGAGTGCAAAAGGTCAACAAACTCCACCCAGCCACAAGGTCAGGGGATTACTACACACAAAACACCAGCTAATGAAACCCATCAACCGCAGGGACAGATAATCTCCCCTCCTTATCAAAACAATACAGCCACAACAAAACATACTAATTAACCATCTCCTGATAGGACAATAGCCTTCTCACAAACAAGCCTTCTCACAGCCATAAATACTCCACTCTCAAGCCTTACCCAAAGCACAGTTTGCTGTCCTCTGAAGATGCCAGCCACAGAGACTGGCAAAACGTTAGGAAGAACCACCTTCAGAACATGGCCAAGAAGCCCGAAAAACCCACAACAACCATTAGATCCCGGCCGTGAAAGCCTTCGCAAATACAAAATGAGTAACTTTGTACTGTTTATCTGAATTAATAGCTTGCAAAGTCTCTGTCCTGTTTTACCATAGACTTCATTATGATGCTCAAGCAAGATCCCCGTGCAAAAAAAGCATTTCACTTTTACAAAGTTTGCCTTTTGTAATCATCATCATCATCATCATCTTAGAAATGCAGAGCTGGAAGGGATCATATTGGTCACTGAGTCCTGCTTCTGTCAAGGAGGCACAGTGGGAAATCCACACTCCCAACTTCTGGCTCCTCAGTCAAATACCTAAACCACTGAGCTATCCAGTTTTCTTTTAGGACAGGCACATCCAGACAGCAGGAGCAGACTTACTCCCTTTGCTGTATATTTGGCACAGTTTTCATCAACAAAAGAAACAAAATTGCTAGACACTCCTGGATTAAAATGCAGCTGATGCTTACATGCCAGCAGTGTCTCCAGGTGCATAAAGCCATGAGGGTTCTGCCACAAAAACTTGCAGCACAATATGGTAAATCAGTACAGTGCTCCAGCCAATTAGCGATGCCCTTGTCAAAAATATTCCCTTCTGTTCCCACTCTACTCCTTCTATTTTAGTCACATAGACTTGAATTAGTTGAAAGTAAGGGGTCCCAAGTGAAGCTGTAGCATCCAGGACCAGAAACCAGGGAGGAACAGAGTACCTCCAAATATTTGGACCCCTGAGAGAAAGAGTAGCAGAAAAACACCCATAGCTCTTGGAGCACACTCTCTGTGTGGTCTGGAGTGCAGTATAGCAGTTTATCCACAATGCCATGAAGGTCCCTGAAGTGGCAGGAAGCCCAGGCCTGGTTTTAGCACAGGAGGCAAGGGCTTTTCTGAGCCCAAGTGTGAAAGGAGGGTGTCCTGGTGAAGGTGTGCTCTCAGTACGGGGGGCTTTCTCAGGAGCAGGAGCCATTTTGGTAGTGAGAGTTTCATTGACTCAAGTGCCCTCCTCCTGAGGACTTCATATGCTAAAGGCCTATGGCAGAATTCTTTGTAGAAGTGAGTCCAGTGCAGTTTCAATAGTCACTGTTTTGGGACAGAAGAGTTACTAGAAACAATGTCTAATGATATTTGGGCTTTGCCCACCACAACTTAAATTTCTGACTCCTGTTGTGACTCCTGTGCTGTGTGTGACCTTTTACAACTTGCTTGTCCTTTTCTACTTAGATTGAGCCATCCTTCTAAGACATCCTTGAGCTGTCCCACATCTTTCTGGCTCAGTGGTAGGGCCTGCATTCTTTTTGGCATGCTTGTTGTTTAGCCTGTTGAACCAGGAGATAGCAGCCTCTAGCAGCCTCAGCTTTCAACTGCCTATCATGGCTGCAGATTTCGAGGGAGAGTAAGAGAGGGAGGGAGGGAAAGGAGAAAACAAAACCACACTGATAAAGGGAGTGAGGAATGATGTGATTTTTTAAACTTCCCCTGACTCTCAAACAATCGGAAATGATTAACTGCAGCTGTTCAGATTTCACGGGATTGTTTGCTATTTGGATGGAAGGAACATGACAATTGGCACCTTGCTTCTCCCCCCCTCCCCTGGTCTAAAAAGACCTTCTGTAGCCTTTTGATCCACCCTACACCCAAAACAGGCAGCCTCGAAAGGTCCTTAGGCCCTTCCAATAATGTGTGTGGGAATGGAGGATCTTTTACCCTTTGCCTGCTTCCTTACTCTGCCTAATGAAATGGCTACCCTGTGAGTAAATGTTTTTATCCTGCACACCAGAAAAACAGAAAAGCAGTAACTTGGAATATATGTGTTAATGTACGGCATGTATTTCAAATTTTAAAATGCTATAGAGAACTATTTGTTTTTAAAAAAAGAGAGATCCCAAATATATAATGCTTTTTAGATCATTTATTTATAAATCAAATAAAAATGCTGCAAGATGTTCATCAGTTAACAATTGAAAGAAGTGATTCGTTTCTAGTGATGCTGTAAGCAAGGGATAAAGAGGGATGGCTCTTCTTTGTCATAAATGTTCTTATTCTTGTGCAACTTCAGATTATCAGCAGTCTCGCAAGTATTTCAGTCCAAGTCTTCCGTCACTCCAACTGGTGAGAGACAGCCAAGAAAAGAACTCAGTGTGATAATCCAGAAGATGCAAAGTTTCACATTATTCAATAAATAAAAAGATTACTTGGCAGTGCTAGGTTAGGCGAGGTCCGGATTAGGCACAACAAGCCTTTTCTGCCACAAGAACTCTCTTCTGTCAACTGAACTCGGACATCTGCCAGTTGAGTAAACTGGTGGCAGACCTGCTCTGCTGCCTTAGTTCAGCTGATAGAAGAGCTGGAGGGGGAGTGGAGAATGGGCAGAGAGAGAGAAAAGCAGAGGTCCTCTAGCTATAATACTGCAAACAGCGAGGCTTGTGCAAGGGTAAGCCTAGGTAATCTCCAGCATCACTAGGCCGAAAGTGGTTTGGACTTGGTTCATCTTCAGTTGGACCCAGGCTGTTCACCATTTTGGATTGCCTACTGAAGAAGGCAAGGTGAAATCTGTTCAATTTTTTTCACTACTGCTATGTTTCCTGGTGGCAAGACGGTGGAAAGGTACCTCCCCCCACACATTTCTGAGCTTCATTGATCATAAAATTCTTTCAAAGCAAACATTCTTAAAACTGGGATCAATTGTAACATTTCTTTTCAATAGTCTGTATACAGAGCAGTGTTGTTCCCTCTTTTCAGATGCCCCTTGTGATTGAAACAAGTACTCACATATATGCATTGCAGAACATACACCTACTGCGATATGTTTTGTTATCGGAACCACAATGAGGTTGGTACTCCATAGTACATGCTTCTTTTGGATACTCATCACAATAGACCTAGACAAAGTCAGTGCAAGTGGGATTAGTTTTTTCTTGATCAGAAAGTAGCTGGAAAGCATTAACATTCTCTGTCACCATGCTCGTCGCCGTTTAGTTGTTTACTCGTGTCCGACTCTTCGTGACCCCATGGACCAGATCACGCCAGGCCCTCCTGTCTTCCACTGCCTCCTGTAGTTGTGTAAAGTTCATGTTAGTTGCTTCGATGACATTGTCCAACCATCTCATCCTCTGTCGTCCCCTTCTCCTCTTGCTGTCACACTTTCCTAACATCAAGGTCTTTTCCAAGGAGTCTTCTCTTCTCATGAGATGGCCAAAGTACTGGAGCCTCAGCTAGCTTTGCCTTAATTGTGACTAGTATTAGAGTGCTAAACGATCACTCTAAATTGTGAGTGCAACAAACACAGTACCTGGGTATAGAACTTCAGAACATAGTTAAAATTACGGTTACATTTTTTTTTAAAAAAAGTCTTCACATTTCCATTTCCCAGAAATAATTAAATATTATGTACTGGTCCTTCCTGGAAGGGAGAAGATGGAGTGGAGCAGTGGCCCAGCCGGGAGGGGGGGGAGCTACTCCTCTTTGATACCATGGCCATTGGCCTGTGGGGTACCTCACAACCCTCTTTTCTCCCCTATGCTATTTTACATCAACATTAAACCACTAGGAGAAGTTGTCTGGGATTATTTATTATAGGAAGAAAACAGCTAATTATCTATAATCTTGTTCCCAGAAGTTAGATTGCATAAGGATGATGATGTCACCAGCTGCAACTGTTTTTCAGAAATTAAACATTTCTGATCCTCTCCCAAATATCCCAAGGCTTCTGTGGGATCCCTTTAATTGTGGGTAAATTATTGGGAGCTGCAGAATGGAAAGTGAAGTGTTAATTTTTTTAAAAAAAGTCATTCCAGCAGCTGCTGCATGATGGAGTTTAGACCATTTCTGTTCTAATTTCAAAGGGTCACATATTCAGCAAATCTCCATTTGTTTAAGCTACTGCAAGTTGAGGTAAGACTAAATAATGAATACTCACATTCAGATCTATTGCTTCAACAGTGCCATCTAAAAACAAAACATGCTATGTGTAACTATATTGTACAACAAATCCATAAGAGTTCAATGGGAAGCATCCGTTTCAGTACAAGAAAATGATTTTAGAGAGTCACAGTGAGGTTCACCAGCATGCAGCTTAGGCTGCAAGCTAAATGGCATCATTTGGTCTGGGCATCCTACCGTTCTCAGGATGGCAAGCAAAGAACAGTGCCATTTCCCGCAAAGCCCTCCCCATATGTTCCGGGAAGTCCTGTGAGCAAAGAGGGATTTCCTGCAAAGATGTAAACCCAAACCTTACATAGCTTACTCCCTTCCTATTGGTAGGATTCAGAAGGAAAGTTTGGGGGGGTTGGGGGGAGAAGGAAAGGCTAAAAATAAAAAAGGAATGAAAATCTGCCCAGCAGATCATAGGAACTCTATCATTCCTTCAGCCCACTTTGCCTCTTTTGGACTGTAATGCCTGTTTACCCTTAGTGACTGACCAGGTGAGAGGAAGACAATGAAATCTGTGAGTGATTCATTCATTAATAGACAACTCTAAATATGCTGCTGCTTGTTTGCATAAGACTGATTGGAAACCTACTTAGAAGCATTGATCAGTGGAACTTGTGGCCATACAATCTGTGCTTCAACTTCCATTCGGTCCCACTTGACATAGGTACCATGTGGGGGTTATCAGGAAAGGCCTTAAGAGGATTGTGCTCCCAGTGTAGAGAGTGGCAAGAACACTGAAGAATGGGCTGCACAGATACAGAGTATCTCCATGTGACAGAGGCAACCCATCCGGACAATTGTGTTCCAGTAATTAATTCAGGTATTTATATGGAAGCCTTTGAAACGTTTCATATAGAAAAGGCCTTGAGAATGTCTAGAGATTATTGTCATTCCTTTCTGGGATTAAATGTATAATGGGAATCGAGTTGTAAAAGGCAAATCTGTACAAAAAGGGGAACCCTGGCCATGGGAAATTCAGCTCACCTGACCTCCAAGGGCCTTCATGATCGGCTTAATGGGGTTTGTCCAAGTTGACTGCAGTTACCCAGGCTGTAGGTGAGTCTTGGATTCTGCTGGTAGGCGCCTTCCTCGCATATTTATATATGTAAACACACACAGCTTAAATGTTCCTGCAGATTTTATGATGAAAGAGTCCTTTCCAAGGTAACATTTGAGTGCGGAAATAGGGGAGTACAAAGGTCTTGTGTTGCAACAATTTTGCAGCTTCCTTTTGGTTTAGAGCCCAGAATCCAAGGAAATTTGGCAACTAGTCTTTCAGTGAGGAGCAAGTGGGGTTCTCCATGGACCACGTGGCATTGAGTCATCACAGTATTCTGACCATATATATTGTGGTCCTCAAGAACAATATTCAAGCTAAGAATGTATGTATGAACATTCCCTGTTAATCAAACGGCTATGTAAATTCTTCATCTATTTCTTAAAGATTGATACAATTTTCATGGCTGTAAAAGTGAGCACTATCTAGTTGCCTTCAAACTTGTTGTTGATGACAAATTAAAGTTCTGAGTTTTTGTTGACTGGATTCATGTTGTCAAAGCCAGATGTTAGACCTTGGTCCCTTCAAAGGGGAATAATGAGATAAAGTAGCACACAAGTGAACGTGACATTTCTTTCGTATTGTTGATTTTTAAAAAACTGAATTAGCAATATTGGCTGAATGTATAGGAAGTTCACACCTTTTGAACACACTCTTTTACACATTGATATAGGAAAGGAATCCATGACATTTAAAAAGAAACCTGTTTTCAGTGGAGTCAGTTTGATTAGTCCATTCATTTTGTTCTACCTAAAACTACCTGCTAAATAATGAGATGTGAAATCAGAGACATAACCATAGCTGGGAATAGTCTGCAATATTCTTCTTATGTTATGCAGTAAATATTCCAGTGTAATCGTGTATGGTTTTTTTTTCCTAACAGTGTTGCAATCTACAGTATCTTCTGTATTTCTTCCATGAGCTAAAGGTGGCATCTTATGTTTCTCTTTTTGTTGACTTTATGCCCTGTGAAGTATGTTATATGGAGGAAGTATTACTGGTTTTGTTGTTTATTCGTTAAGTCATGTCCGACTCTTCATGACCCTATGGACCAGAGCACGCCAGGCCCTCCTGTTTTCCACTGCCTCCAGGAGTTGGGTCAAATTCATGTTGGTACCTTCGATGACACTGTCCAACCATCTCATTCTCTGTCGTCCCCTTCTCCTCTTGCCTTCACACTTTCCCAACATCACAGTCTTTTCCAGGGAGTCATCTCTTCTCATGAGACAGTCAAAGTATTGGAGCCTCAGTTTCAAGATCTGTCCTTCCAATGAGCACTCGGGGTTGATTTCCTTCTAAATGGATAGGTTTGTTCTCTTTGCAGTCCAGGGGACTCTCCAGAGTCTCTTCCAGCACCACAATTCAAAAGCATCAATTCTTCAGCGGTCAAACTTCTTTGTGGTCCAGTTCTCAATTCCATACATCATTACTAGAAAAAGTATGAATGGTAGGGATGTGCTATTTGGATTTTTTAGACTTCAGCTCCCAGAATTCTCCATTCTTGGAGTTCCACTTCAGAGACCTATCCTATAGATAATCTAAATGTGGCTCACCTGGAGGAGGACCTAGCTGAAGAAGCAAAAGTAGGATACAAGTCAGATATTGATACAAAGCTTATTTTACTGAAAAATGAAATTGAGATACAAAATATCTCTGTTATATTGCAAAATAATCACTACCATATCTAGCAGAGGAGACACAGAAGGAAGATAGAGGCTTTTTTGTTATGAGAGCAGGAGAAAGGCATGAAATTAAGTTCAACATCTGGTTGTCTTCTTGTGTGGTTCATTTTTTCCTTTCAACATCATCCTCAGTGCTTCACTCAAAGCCCTCTACCAAATCTACAAAGACTACCTCAAGACATTGGTGCATATACTGGTTATTTCCCGCATCAACCACTGCAATGCTCTCTATGTGGGGCTTTCCTGGGGTCTGATCCAGAGATTGCAACAGGTCCAGAACATGGCAGCCAGACTGGTGACCGGTTTGCACAGGTTTGACCACCTCTTCTCTGTCTTGGCTCACCTGCGCTGGTTACCTGTAACTTCCCTGTCACCCCCAAACCAGATTCTAGGTTTTATTGATCACCTATAAAGCCCTTCATCATTTGGGACCACACTGGAGGACAATGGCAGTGCCTCTGTGGGGGGTTGGAACCACAGTTTTCCTTCTCTTAGATGGGCTGCCTTCCAGGTCTGAATGAGTCCCACCTATCTGGCCTGTTCCCTCAAGGCAATGAGGACCATGGCGGCGCCTCAGTGGGGGTTTGAAATCAGAGTTTTCCTTCTCTTAAACAACAACAGTGCACGTAATGACACATTTAACATACCCTCTGCTTTGCCCCTGAGAGCAGCCTAAAATGTATTACTATACATCTATTTAGCCAAATGTTGTCCACAGTTATATGTAAGCATTACAGAAATAACATTCATTGCTGTATGTTCGGTTACTGGAACCACAAATTGGTCTGAACAGCATGTTGCATACTTATCTGGGATAGCTGTGGCAGGAATGCTGTAGAGAAAACAAGGGCATGTTTTCAAGCCTTTCTCCTTCAGGCAACAGGAACACGTTGTTATCACAGACTTTATCAAAGTGAGTGGAGACCGAAGGGCATTTGCCATGGCAGAGGTGTATACCCAGCCCTACAACTGATTGATTGATTGATTGAAAATATTCTTATCCCACCTTTCTCCCCAAAAGGAACCAAGTTGCTTCCTTGGAGGATGTTCAGAAACCCCCAAACCTGCTCTGTAGCTGAATAAAGGATGTATAGATTGGAGCCCTGCTGTGTTCCAACCACTTTTCCCCTACATCTATTCTTTATCTCTGTGTTTCCAAATCTCCATTTTAAAAAATAAATCACATTACTCTGTATGGGAGAAGTGGAGA